CTCTTATCCCAGCTAAGGCTGGTAGCATGTCAAGAATTATGTCAACCTTAGTTTGGAGCCAAAGGCCAAAGACACAAACATTTGTTTTATTTAAACTCTTCTCATGACAAAGTTTGTCGGACGAAAGTATTGACACTTGGGACAGGTGTGGACAGAAGGGTGGTTGGCAGAACAAAAAAAAAATGAATAATACCTCCCTCCCCACACACATAAAGTCATGTTTCACGGCCAGTGCAAAGGGCCAAAAAGTGTAAAGAGTTTGTTTTTTTCGTAGTTGCTGTTTTTTTTTGATTTTCGCAGAAAAAAAAGGCCAGACTCCCTGTTTTTGTTCCCCTCTGGGTCATTGCCTAGAAAAAAGGGCCATCATAATTTATGAAATCTTAATGGAAAGTGATGCTACTATCGAAAAAATAAAACAAATTGAAAAAGATTGTTTTAAGGGGCGGCTACAGCCTAATAATGATCTCTAATTAATTTTATTACTCAACACTTTCTTCGGTGCCCCAAGGAATTTGTTTGGAAATCTGATTTTTTACTCGCCCCAATTTTTTAAGGATAGGAATTAAAAGGATGGCTTTTTCCCAATTTATTAAGTGTTTTAAATTATTGACTATCAGGAAGAATATTTTGAAGGGTTTTATTTAACCAGAAGACCCTGAAAAAGGTCTTTATAAAATAGGGATCATTAACCGGTCGCCTAAGGACAAAATGTCTTCTTCAAATCTTCCTTAGGCCGAAAAGCTCCGACGGCTCTTCTACAGATCTTCTATGGACAGGCAACCATTTAAAGCACTTCTATAGACTGAAAGGCTTCTCAATTAAGAAAAGAGAAAAAGAGAGAGATAGAGAGATAACACTTTCAACTGAGGGAAAATAATAATCTTCAAGGTATTTTATTTTTAGAAGACCTCCACAAGACTTCTTGGACAGAAGACCTTCTGCAGTTCTTCTACGTACAGAGGAACTTCTACAAGACTTTCATGGACAGAAGACCTACTTCAGGTCTTCTAAGGACAGAAGACCTCCTACAATTTTTTCTAAAGGCTTTCTGTGGTCATAGTACCCTTTATAGATCTTCTAGGGACAGAAGTTCTTCTTCTATGGATAGAAGACCTACTACACATCTTCTATGGACAGAAGGTGTTCTATTCTCTTTTGTGGCCAAATAACATTCAACAGGTCTTCTGGGAATGGAAAAACTGCTACAGCTATTCTCTGGACTGAAAACCTACAACAGTTCTTCAATAGACAGAAGACCGTCTACAGGTTTCCCATGGACAACCGAGTTCGGCCTAGAAGCAAGTATATCAAATTTGGAGAAAATCGGTTCAGATATAGCTATAGCTCCCATATATATCTTTCATCCGATTTGATCTTTAAGTCCCTCACATTCCTACTATGCACTCCACAACCGTGATATTTGGTACCAGGTATTAGATGGAGGACAGAAATAGCTGTTTTAAATTTTATCGAAATCGGTTCAGATTTGAATATAGCTCCCATATATATATTCATCCGATTTCGGGTTAATTGACCACCAAATGGCCAATATCAGCCCAAATGGCCCGAATTTTGGCACATGTGACCGAGATTAGCCTTAAAGCAAATACAACAAATTTGGAGAAAATCGGTTCAGAAACAGCTATAGCTCCCATATATATCTTCATCCGATTTCGGGTTAAATGTGCACCAAATGTCCACTATCAGTCCAAATTACCTGAATTTTGGCACACCCAACCGAGTTCGGCCTAGAAGCAAGTATATCGAATTTGGAGAAAATCTTTCATCCGATTTGGTGTTTAAGCCTCTCACATTCGTAATATGCACTCCACAAGAATGATATTTGGTACCAGATATAAGATACAGCCCAGAAATAGCTGCTTGTAATTTTATCAAAATCGGTTCAGATTTGGATATAGCTCCCATATATATCTTCATCCGATTTCGGGTTAATTGTGCACCAAATGGCCGATATAAGTCCAAATGGACTGAATTTTAGTACAACGGACCAAATTCAGCCTAGAAGCAAGTATATCAAATTTAGTAAAAATCGGTTCAGATATAGATATAGCAACCATATATATGTTTCATCCGATTTAGAGTTTTAGTCCCATACATTCGTAATATTCACTCCACAACCGTGATATTTGGTACCAGGTATTAGATGGAGCACAGGAATAGCTGTTTTAAATTTTATCGAAATCAGTTCAGATTTGGATATAGCTCTCATATATATCTTCATTCGATTTCGGGTTAAATGTGCACTAAATGGTCAATATCAGCCCAAATCACCAGTCTAGAAGCTAATACGTAAAATTTGGAGAAACCCGGTTCAGAGATAGTTATAGTTCGTAAAATGCACGATAGAATTAGATAGATTTTGATTTTGTACCTCATGATTTTGTATATCTCATACAGCTCTGAAATGCCCTGTATAAACCTTTTTACGAGAGCTCTACTAAATATGCATAGTGGTGTAGGGTATCATATAGTCGGCCCCGCCCGACTTTTGAGCTTTCCTTGCTGGTTATCTGTATGAAAATGGAACATTTCGTTCGACATTTTAACATTTTCTAAAAATTATCACATATCTCATATAAAGTGAGGAAAGTAGTCGATATTGTCCAAACCTGGTATGTTGCAATGTTTATATCATATTTATTTAGGTCCGATAAGAAATGGTCAATATTTGCCCATTCCTTCGAATCCTACTCCATAGTGTGTCAACAATTTGAATAATCATAACAAAAGTAAAAATATATTTAAATTATCGAACAGTGGCTGAGGGTATACATCTGTCGTCAAAACCGACTGATACTTTTTAAATTGTTTATAGAAGAGAAAAAAATAAGTTTTTTTTGCATGTTTTCTATAAAAAAGACTAATTTTTAACAGACCTTTTAAAGATGTTTCATTACAGGCTAGGAAACTTAATTTTCAAAAAAAAAAAAACCAAAAGACTTTCCCCAACCAACTTCCAATTGACTCTTTTCTTTCTGACATTTACTTACTCTTCCAAAATAACCACTGACAGATTATGTCGTCATAAATGCCATCACATCCCGGATATTTCGTCTATTTACTTTCAGCTTCCAAGTTAACTTCTTATTTGAATTCATAACTAATTCCGTGCAACATATTCACCACTACCTCTTAAAATAATGGGAAATTTATTCTCTCTCTGTCTCTCTTCAAAGAGCGAACCTCTGTGCGCACACTCACCTCTGCTCAACATATTTCATCTGTTGCATGGCTGTTGGTTACACCTCTTAATACCTGTATTTATTGTTGTATTGTTTGAGGATTTCCACAAAACATCTGTACAAGTGTCTCATAAATTTCCCATTACCACCAGCCAACCAACCGTTGGGGCCCCCAAAAAAGTTCTGTTGTTTGTAAACAACAGCGAGCCTTCTTCTCCTGTTGCTGAAGCTGCTTTCCCTCGACTGTTGCTGATGTTGTAAAGGGCTAGCAGTGTTGTTGTTTTCGGGGGTTTGTCCCCCTGCCTTCACATTCACTTGACTAAGGGTTTTTTGTGGGTTAATGGGTTATTTCTGGATGGATGTGCAGTTATGTTTCATACAATGTGTTTATGTGTGTGTGTGTGCGTGTGAGTATCGTTGCATGGATGAATGTGTGTAGCTAGTGTATGTGAGAGAATGAGTAGTTGGGGTTGAATTTTATGTGTAAATAATTCGGAAAAAATGCTTTTATGCTGACAACAATGGGATGGGTTGTGCCTTACTTTGAGGATATTTAATTTGTGAAAATATGTAATTAAACTTCGGGAGATTTACTACATTTTTGAGGACTTCATCGCTATTGAGACCCTCCACAATACCCGAAATACTCATGTCAGACCCAACAAAGTATATATATATATAATTGATCAGCGTAACATTCTAAGTCCATCTCTGGAACGAATTAAAATAGAAGCCTAAAATTTTTCACGTGTGTATTTTGCTAGTAGGCAAGTTATGTTTGTAAATGAGCCATGTCGGTTGACGGTTTCGTACGGCTTCAATATAACAGTACATCCCAATATTCGGTATTTTGATGTGTTCATGGGAGAAAAACGCGTGAATGTGAATATGAACCCATGAACGTCTTCCCACCCTATTGTGATTCTATTGTGAATCATTTTATTTTAGTTTATTCCTTCTCATTGTTTTCTCTTTCTATAATGAAAACAAAAACAAAACGTAGAAACTAGAGAAAACAATGAAAAAGAAGAAGATCATTTTTTTGGAGTTAGAGTTGAATTTGATTTTGTCATTCCGTTTGTTTTTTCCCAAGAGAACAGTAGTTCGACTTAATAAGAATAAATAAAAGTTATTAAAATAAAGCACAAGTGTTAGTTCTTTGGAATTGTGGGAAAATTATAGTGAATCGGTGCGAATAAACTAATAAATTAAAAGTCGTGAAATAAAGCGCCAACGAGAAATAATCATATTACAAATATTGCGTGCTATTTGCCCTTGCCCGAACAGTGGCACGTTCACTGCCTTCATCAACAGTGTGTGCTGAAACAGAACCTTGCCCAAAGGGGAAGACATCGTCACCGTGCTGCACCATCAAGGCGCGTCCTGCCAAAGTGTAAGTGGATCGAGTCGACCGGGGTACCTTGAACCGTGGTGGCCGACTCTGGAAACGTTGGTAAGCACCCCAACATCTGGTCCTTCGAGCCAGATGTTGGGGTGCTTACCAACGTTTCCAGAGTCGGCCACCACGGTTCAAGGTACCCCGGTCGACTCGATCCACTTACACTTTGGCAGGACGCGCCTTGATGGTGCAGCACGGTGACGATGTCTTCCCCTTTGGGCAAGGTTCTGTTTCAGCACACACTGTTGATGAAGGCAGTGAACGTGCCACTGTTCGGGCAAGGGCAAATAGCACGCAATATTTGTAATATGATTATTTCTCGTTGGCGCTTTATTTCACGACTTTTAATTTATTAGTTTATTCGCACCGATTCACTATAATTTTCCCACAATTCCAAAGAACTAACACTTGTGCTTTATTTTAATAACTTTTATTTATTCTTATTAAGTCGAACTACTGTTCTCTTGGGAAAAAACAAACGGAATGACAAAATCAAATTCAACTCTAACTCCAAAAAAATGATCTTCTTCTTTTTCATTGTTTTCTCTAGTTTCTACGTTTTGTTTTTGTTTTCATTATAGAAAGAGAAAACAATGAGAAGGAATAAACTAAAATAAAATGATTCACAATAGAATCACAATAGGGTGGGAAGACGTTCATGGGTTCATATTCACATTCACGCGTTTTTCTCCCATGAACATCCTCCCCCCCTTGGGACAGGGTTCCAACTAAACTATATAATATTAATTAATGCAATTGTCCATGGAAATTCAATTTAGTGGACACTAAAATCTAAATTAATTACAAACTGTTTTTAATTCAAAATATGACGATAAAATAAATTATGATGAAAGATATGGAAATATACAGTTAAAAAACAACGTTAATTGAGCCAGCAATCGTTGAGTCCCTCTGGGACAAATATGGTACTGCAACGCCTCCTCACACGGGTAAGAAAAAAAAAAACATTATTTAAATCTTTCGCTCCACGTCGCCGAAAAATGTCCATCCAAAGACGGTGTTTTGGGCATATGGCATGCCGCGCTCAAAAACGGGTAGGCCCAGGAAAATGCCTTCAGATGCCGGCTTACCGAGTACCACATTGTATTTGCCGGGCTTCTCGAAAGTAGGATCCGCTACCGCCTTCTTCAAATACGCCTTTCTCACGCACTTCAAGTCAACCGGGTGCCGAGGCTCTAGAAGGTCTGACTCGCCCAGCACCTTCAAATTGGTGGTGTATGTCCGAACATTGTTGTTCGTTGACGTGAGAACGACCCGTACCGGACTGGGATACAATGGACCTTGGCTGGGTAATCCCATTTGAAGGGTACTCTCCTCACGCAGCGGGTCGATAAGCACACGCACCTTCTGTGGGGTTTCATCTAGGCCTGGGAAGTGGATAAAGACCTCTGCCGTCATGGACAACCAAACTTCTCGACGGTTATCTAGCGGGTGTAATAAAGAGTGGTGGGCGAAATTGCACACCCGACAACCTTCATTCCACGGGCAAGTTATCGCTCGGTGTCCCAGACCGAGACAATTTACGCAACCATTGTACTTGCGTACGATGGCTTCCTTATCGGAAGGTATCGCCGACAAGAAGGGGCGGCAGTGCCGGAACGAATGCCGTGTGTGGCATAAAGGACACTTGAACGCATCGTTGAAGCTCATCTGAAAGAGAGTAAGGCATCGTTAGGAAACAAATAGACAACAAGGACATATATTTCATCGGGAGAGACGTCAACGTTGACTGGCCAATCGAGCAAGATCTATTCGGGACGATGAAGGAGGACCAATTTGTGAACAGGGCGTGTAATCACTCCATTTAAAGTCTTGATGTCCACAACCCGAACCCTTTCGTCCTGACCGAAGTGTAATTTCATCACGCGGCCCAATCGCCACTCGTTTGGAGCAAGGGAATCAGAGTGTAGTACGACAATGTCGTCAACCTGTAGGTCATTTCGAGGCAGTTTCCACTTTGTTCGCCTTTGAAGCTCCTTGAGATATTCGGACTTCCATCGTCTGCAGAACTCCTGGGCAATCAATTTCAACCGTCGCCAACGGTTCAAAAGAGAAGTTTTATTTTCTACCTCGTCGGGTTCAGCTGGCGCTAGTAATGGTCCACCGATGAGGAAGTGACCTGGAGTAAGGGCGCTGATATCATCGATGCTATCTGTCAGGGGAGTAAGAGGCCTGGAGTTTAGGCACGATTCGATGTGAGCAAGGATAGTGGATAATTCTTCGAATGTATGACGAATTTGTCCCGAGATTTTCTTCAGGTGACTCTTGCAGCTTTTAACCCCCGCCTCCCACAGCCCACCCATATGTGGAGCTGCGGCGGGGTTAAAATGCCACTCCAATTTCTGGAAGCCGTAACGAGTAAGGGAGTCGTCCTTCGCCTCTGCGACAATCTTCATCAAATTAGAACGAATTTCACGGTCTGCACCCACGAAATTCTTACCGTTGTCCGAGTAAATATGACGAGGGCATCCACGCCGGGCAACGAATCGGGACAGAGCGGCAATAAAGGCAGGGGTGGAGAGATCACTGACAGGTTCTAAGTGTATCGCCTTGGTGGCGAAGCACACAAACAAGCAAATGTAACCCTTGGAAATGCGGCAACCTCTGCCACTAAAGTTCTTAATTTCAATAGGGCCAGCGAAATCGACCCCTGATGTGGAAAACGGCCGGGTAAAGGTAGTCCTCTCGGGAGGAAGAGCAGCCATCAGCTGCGTTTGTCGTTTCTTCTGAGCCAGAACGCACTTCGTGCAATGTCGATAGTGGGTTTTTACTAAGTTTCGGCCTCGTATGATCCAACATTCGAGGCGCGTTGTAGCCAGAGTCAGCTGAATGCCACCATGGTTGGTCATACGGTGAACATGATCCACGTACAGTGCAGCAAATCTGCTCTTTGGGGCAAGAATAATCGGGTACCGTTCATCGTACGGTAGAGAAAGGGTAGAACTCAAACGTCCATTAGCTCGAATAAGACCATCTTTGTCGAGAAAGGGATTTAGCGACAAAAGAGGGCTACCAGAATCAAGTTTTCGATTTTTATGGAGGCAATCATACTCCGAAGGAAAGTAGATTCTTTGAGAAAGAGACATCAAACGGCGACGAGCAAAGCCAATTTCATCTGCGGTTAATTTAATGCTATCAAAACAAACGGTTTTCTTGGTTTTTGGATGTGTCCTTTGGACAAACCGAAATATGTACGCTATGACATGAGTTGCAGTGGAGAGACGAGAAAACCTTTCCAATATATCTTCTTCTACGGCAGATCGAGCAAGATGAACTTTTACAGGTTTAGCTTCAAGGGTTGTTTCGGATATAACCGCGCCTGAGGGCCATTCACTTCTCGGCGATTTGAGCCAGCTTGGTCCATGCCACCATAAACCACACTCCTTTAGCTCTAAAGGAGTCCGCCCCCGGGTTGCTAAATCTGCCGGATTCTCATCTGTAGGGACATGATACCAGTCGCTCCCTACCTTCTCCTGAATAATAGACACCCTATTTGCCACAAACGTCGTCCAAGAGTAAGATGGTTTCTTGAGCCAAGACAAAACGATAGTCGAATCCGACCAAGCGAACAAAGAGGCTTTTGGAATATCCAACTGAGGCAGAACGGAATCGACTAGCTCGGCTAAGAGAAAGGCCCCACAGAGTTCCAACCGTGGCAAGGACAATTTCTTCAACGGCGCCACTTTGGACTTCGCAACGAGCAAATTCGTATAGACATCAGTACCAACTTCAACTCTCAAATATAACGCAGCAGCGTAAGCCGACTCTGACGAGTCACAGAAACCATGCAATTCAATATTGCAATTTGGAGAGTAATTTACCCAGCGAGGTATTCTAATCTCTTCGATTCCTGACGAAGTAGAGACAAAATTCTTCCAGTTTATCAGAGTAAGAGGCTTTAATGGATCGTCCCATCCAATCTCATCTAGCCATAACTGTTGCATCAGAATTTTCGCAGTTATTACAATCGGCGCGAGCCAGCCCAGAGGGTCAAAAATCTTCGCTATAATGGACAACACTTGTCGCTTCGTGTAAGAACTTCTTTCTTGAATTGTATCTATAACGAAGTAGAAACTATCTGATGAGGCATTCCATCGAATACCTAATGTCTTCGCAGAACTCTTGTCACCCAGATCAAGAAAATCTTCATTTAACAGATGCTCACGAGCAAGACCATCCAAAATTTCTCTAGAATTAGACGTCCACTTCCGGAGACCAAACCCGGCTGATGAAAGAATTTTTATCAATTCTTCTCTCGCTCTTAAACCTTCTGAGACAGTATGCACCCCTACCAACGCATCATCTACATACATATTGTTTCGTAAAATTTTGGAACCAATGGGAAAGCGATGCTCCTCGTCATCAGCCAGTTGCAACAGCGTCCTAAGAGCCAAGTAAGGAGCGCAATTGACGCCAAATGTTACTGTCTTTAACTGGTAATCAGAAACTTCCTCTTCCGGGCAAGATCGGAATAGAATGCGCTGATATTTGGAATGCAATGGGTTAATCCAAATTTGGCGATACATTTTAGAAATGTCCGCATTAAATACATATTTGTATAAGCGCCAATTCAAAACGAGCGAAACTATGTCCTTTTGAAGCGAAGGGCCAACATACAACACGTCGTTTAAGCTTTTGCCGTCTACCGAGGGACACGAAGCGTTAAAGACTACTCTCAACTTCGTCGTTACGCTTTCGGGCTTAAATACGCCATGATGGGGCAAGTAAAAACAATTTTGATAGTTGACAAACCCTTCTACTTTCTCCATATGACCCAGAGACAAATATTCAAGAATAACTTTGTCATAATCCGATTTTCGATTCGGATCTCTCATTAGCGATGTCTCATTCCGCAAAAATTGAGTCAGAGCAATATATCGGCTTGATTTTGACGCCAAAGAGAAAGGGTAATCGACTTTAAAGGGCAAGTTTACCGTATATCTCCCATCGGAGCCTCTGGTCGTCGTAGTTCGATAAATATCCTCGCATTTTTGGTCATCTACAGATACAATCGGAACTTTGGGAATCTCCTCAATTTCCCAGAACTTCGAAAGTTCGTCTTGCACTGATACTCTAGTGCAATGCGAGATGCTAAGTGACTTCAGATGGACTAAATCAGTTGTCGGACCGGTTAATATCCACCCAAATACGGTCTCTTGAGCCAAAAGCGAGCCAAGTACGTTTTTCCTTACTCCGTTGAGCAAGATAACAGGGTAAACGTTCCCACCGAGCAAGATGTCTACTGGACTACTTTGATAAAATTTTGGATCCGCAAAATCTAGATCCGGAAGTTCTTCAATTCGAATTTTGCCCAAGGGATGTGTGGGAATATCCCCCGTGATTTCAGGGACCACAAATGCCTCAAGGTCCAACGAGAAAGACCTATTTTTCATCGATCCAATTCTGACGGATGCTATCTTAGAACATTTAGTCAAATGTTCACCGCCCAAACCGGAAATGTCCGCAGACACCGAACTTGTGGGCAACCTAAGCATCTTCTGCACCCGAGCGGAAATAAAAGTGTCGTCCGAGCAAGGATCTATTAGCGCACGTACTTTATATGGAACACCATCCTTCAAAATATTTACCCAAGCCGTGGCAAGCATCGTTCTACTTGTGACCGAGGTATGAAATGCGCGAGTATTCGAAGAAGTAATCGGACCAGCCGATGTACTCGGAGTCACAGCCAACGACGTAGACAAATCTGTAGAAGCATTCGCATTAGAGCTATTATCTTGGGCAATCGTATTTTTATGAAGGAGGTTATGATGCTTTCCTTTGCATTTTGAGCAAGCAGGAGCCATACAGTCCACCGCTTTATGACCCAACGCCATACAATTGAGGCAACGATTTTCTCTCTTAATAATATTTAATCTTTTCCTGAAATCCATACTAAGGAACTTCGGGCAAGATTTTAAGGGGTGTGTCCCTTTGCACACACTGCATTTGTTCTCATTTACCTTAGTATGATGGACTCTGAATTGTTTCGATTTGTCATATTGGCTGTACTTTGGGCGAGAAGATTGAGAAGATCCTGGTTGTGCTCCATTCGAGCAAGTTATATCTGACACACTTTCCAATGCCTGAAATCTCTCCGTGAGAAATTTATTTAAGTCCTCCCAACGAGGCATTTCTGTTTTACTTGGCAGAGACTGTTCCCATACAGAAAGAGTGAGTTTAGGCATTTTTGAAGAGCAATGATATACAAATATAGGGTCCCAAGACTTTACATCAATCTTATATAACTCTAGGACCGATATACAATTAGTAACCTCCCGCTGCAATTTTTTAAGGCCACTCGCCGATTCTTGCCCGCAATGAGCAAGATTAAATAAATTTCTCAATTGAGTATTTATAAGAATTCTCTTATTATCATACTGGTTTCTCAAATTGTCCCAAGCAATTGAGAAACCTTCGGCCGTCAATGGGATATTTCGATTTATCTCTCTTGCCTCTCCACTTGTTTTTTGGAATAAGTGGTACAGCTTTTCAACGGGGCTTAATTTTTTGTTATTGATAAAAATCGCCGTGAATAAGTCACGAAAACTGGGCCAGGAAACATAATCCCCTTGGAACACTTCCATATCACACGGCGGGACTGCTACAGAGGAAGAAACTCTTTGTGTAACGGGAAACACTTTTGCTTTTTCCTTCCATTCCCCCAAAATATTAACACATCTAACGTAACTTTGGTGGGCAAGTTTTTTATTTGTTTTTATAACCTCCTTATTTTTCTTATTACACTCAGCATCGGAGGTACACGCTTTCAGGGTTTCCTTCCATTCTGCCCATAAACTGCTGAGCTCTGACTTCTCAACTTCAACGGCAGACTCATTAAACCCTGACGCATCCGTCTCCTTTAAATTTTCTTCAAAGGAAATAATTTCCTCAGACTTATTTAAAAAGTCTTCAATACTGGCCATTTTCTTCGAGAAAGCTTAATCCCAAATGTTCAAATTTAATTGTAGAAATTATCGAACGTTACGCAAAGCGAAATATTGTTGTTAAAAAACCGAGCAAGAATCCAAGGGATAGTTACGTCCAACAAAGAGGAATATATTTATTGCAAAAATGAGCAAGAATCCCAGCGCAAATTATAATTCATATAGAGCAAGATATTTATTCAAAGTATTCAAATATTCCGTTGTAACTTTAGTTGCGACAAAAATGTCTCCAAAAACAACAACCCAGAATAAGCACTTTTCGAATAGTACTGTATTAAATTATCCAAATGGTATGTATGCGCGAACAAGTTTAATTTTCTACGTGTTCCAAAAAATTCTCTTAGTCTCCAAATGAGCAAGTAATTTTACTTTTGTTAATGCCAACAAATCCACGAAAAATTTTCAATCATCAACGAAAAAGATTTTTTACCCAAAAAATGTACTTTTGTTTCGATATTTCAAACGAGAAAGTTATTTAATGAAATAGCCATAAGCGTTTCAAATGGTATTCCAATTACCAACTTATTTTTCACAGTAGCATCTAAATGGTATACATTTTTATATATGAGCAAGTCACTTTTTCAATTTCTCATTTCTGACCCACTGTGTCAAATACAAAAAGGGCAAAATTCATCCACAATAACAAAATTGTGTTCTTTATGTTTTTATTGTGCAAGGTAATTTTAACAATTAACCTTCACTTATTCCATTCACGACATTCAATTTCGCCAAAATCTCATAGATTCCATTAAACGTCGTTGTCCAAATTTATATACAGCTGAGCTTTACTTTTCCTTTTGTTTATATTTGCCTTGTATGCTTGTAATTATCTCCTAATGAGAATTATAATTCAGCACTCAACAACGAGAAAAAATTCGAGCAAGCAAATCCACCAAAGGGCAAGACCAAAACAAAATAATCGATGAATGTTAATAAATAGACGATAGCAATACGAACGCTCATACAACGAGAAAGTATAAATCATGCAAACAGAGTCAGCGTAACCGCAGTAGACAAACACACAAAAAAAACCCAAGCAGAGCAAGAGCGACGTATAAACAACTGTGGCGACGCAAACGCCCAGGCAGAGCTACCACGCACAAGCAGCGACTCTCCAAAATATGTCAACAGTGGCTGCGCAAATGCATATAAGCAGAGCCAACAACGCACAAGCAGCAAATCACCAACAGCCTAGCAAAGGGCAAGCATTCACATATAAACAAAGCGCCACCAAATGTGCGTATGTCGATATGTCACGCTAATGAGTCTGACGGACGAACAACTTTTGTCTGTCTAACAGCAACACACAGACAAAGACTCAGCGCCACAAAAAAACAGCAAGCCACCAAATGTGTAAATGGATGAAGGGCAAACAATACAAAAAAATGCCGGTTCGCTACAACAACACCATCCAGCGAAAGACGAATGTAAAGGGCAAGGCTTGATAAATACTCCAACGGTATCCAGTTAAAAAAAATAACTTAGAATACTTTGGAATTTGTTTGTCACAATTATGCAACAGGTAACCTCAATTTCTTTACAAAGAAAGTCCACGAATTTAGGGCCAATATACGTTTGTCTCCAAATGACAAATTATCGTGAAAAACATGCGTGGTACTTACTTTGACCAATGGATACCCTATTTCTTGCTCTTGATTTTGGATCCGGCTCGAAGGACCAGATGTTGGGGTGCTTACCAACGTTTCCAGAGTCGGCCACCACGGTTCAAGGTACCCCGGTCGACTCGATCCACTTACACTTTGGCAGGACGCGCCTTGATGGTGCAGCACGGTGACGATGTCTTCCCCTTTGGGCAAGGTTCTGTTTCAGCACACACTGTTGATGAAGGCAGTGAACGTGCCACTGTTCGGGCAAGGGCAAATAGCACGCAATATTTGTAATATGATTATTTCTCGTTGGCGCTTTATTTCACGACTTTTAATTTATTAGTTTATTCGCACCGATTCACTATAATTTTCCCACAATTCCAAAGAACTAACACTTGTGCTTTATTTTAATAACTTTTATTTATTCTTATTAAGTCGAACTACTGTTCTCTTGGGAAAAAACAAACGGAATGACAAAATCAAATTCAACTCTAACTCCAAAAAAATGATCTTCTTCTTTTTCATTGTTTTCTCTAGTTTCTACGTTTTGTTTTTGTTTTCATTATAGAAAGAGAAAACAATGAGAAGGAATAAACTAAAATAAAATGATTCACAATAGAATCACAATAGGGTGGGAAGACGTTCATGGGTTCATATTCACATTCACGCGTTTTTCTCCCATGAACATGATGATTTATTAACCCTAATTTTTTGAAGTTCGTAATGGGTACTTAACCTATGATGGAAAATAGTCTATGCAGCTCCACCTCTTTGTATAGTCCACATATAGCGGTACCTCCCGATATTCGGTGTTTTGATGATTTTAGCGACATTTTTACCAGAATTGTTTCAAATTTCGCTTTTGAAGTTTATAATGAGTGCTATGAAAAAAATAATTAAACAGGACCACGACTTCCTAAAGCCCCACATAATTTTCCATTTGTTTTCATTTGAGCAGTGTTTTTTAACAGCCCGGCCGAACTTAGCTGCATCTTTACTAGTTTTTCATGATACTAAGGAAAAAAATATAAATGCTTCCTTAAAAAATGTTCAAAAATATCCTTAAATAAAACAAAACTTACTTAAAATTACGCATTTTTAGAGATAGGGTCCAGAAATAATCTAGTCTTCATTAAAATGAAATCATTACGATATATTTTTTATTAAAAAGGGGATAATATTCAGTTCTCGATTTTCAGGAAGAAATTGAATTTATTTCAGGGATGTTCGCAGAAATTGGTTTCGACAGCATTCCGGGGTGACAGTGTTCCCATGTAGCAAAACTTAAACTTTAAATTATCCTTCATGAAAAACAAATTTTTTATTGGTTCGTTTGTTTTTTTAGGTTCGTTCGGGCCGAACTTTTTATACCCTCCAACATTTACAACGAATTTGGAAATTTTCATAAAAAAACCAGTAAAGAAAGTCTTAAAGTCGGCCGGGCCGACTTTATGATACCCTACACCACTTTGCTAATTTAGTAGAGCTGCGCATAACAATTAAAAGTTCTTATGGGAGAATTCAGTCATACACACTATGATTAAAATTTAAAGTTCAAAGGACTAAATATGCCAAAGCATTCGTATCATTTAAATTCGGACTTGTATTGCCCATTTGGTGCAAAATTAATTTGAAATCGGATAAAGATATATATGGGAGCTATATCCAAATCGGAACCGAACTCGATAAAATTTGGCAAAGATATTTCTGAGCTGTATTTGATATATTTCCCCAATTATCGTGTGTATGCACTTGTTGGAGTGCATATTACGGCTGTGGGTAACAAATATGACAAATCGGATATATGGGAGCTATAGCTATATCTGAACCGATCTTCACCAAATTTGACATACTAGCTTCTAGACTCAATTCGGTCGTAAGTGCCAAATTTTGTCCAATATGGCCAAATATTAGACGTTTCGTGCACAATCAAAGGTAAATCGGACGAAGTTATATATGGGAGCTATATCCAAATCTGAACCGATCTCGATAAAATTTAGCAAAGGTATTTCTGAGCTGCATTTGATATGTTTCTCCAAATATTGTTGTTACAGGGTGCATATTACGGCTGCGGAGGACAAAAGTAGCAAATCGGATGAAGAATATATATGGGAGCTATAGCTATATCTGAACCGATTTCGATAAAATTTGGCATACTTCTTATCAGGTCCAATCTGATCGTATGTGCAAAATTCCATACTATTCGGACTGATATTACACGTTTGGTGCACAATAAAAGGCAAATCGGACGAAGATATATATGGGAGCTATATCTAAATTTTGACCGATTATCTCCAATTTTAATAGGGTTCGTCCTTGGGCCAAACAAATGATTTGTGCATAATTTCATCTGGATGGGACAAAAAATGCGAACTGTACTTTGTTTACAAAAATACATGGACAGACGGACGGACGGACATGCATAAATCGACTTAGAATGTGATTCTATGCATATCATCAAAAGGAACTATGGGTCTATCTCGTTTCCTTTTGCCTGTTACAAAGAAATGCACAAAGACATAATACCCTGACCACCTTGTGGTGTAGGGTATAAATAAATTAAAACAAGTAAGCAAAGGCTATAGTCGTGCGTGGCCGACTATGTTATACCCTACAACACTACAATATGTTAGAAGCCCCCTTATGACCCAATCCATATTGGAAGGTTTCGCTTTGGAAATTAGGATTTTGACTAGGGACATTTGCCTTCGGGCTGTTAGTTGTTGTTGTCCAATTTACAGCTAAATATAATCCAATGGTCATCCCAAATGCTAGAATTCTTCCCTGTCCTTAACTCTTTTCACAGGCGTGTCGATTAGCTTCAATTGTGTGATCGGAAAAACATTTTTGTTTTTGGTTAAATTGAACCCCTAAATATTTTGCAATCATCTCCAAAAGCAAAAAGCCCCTCTGTATCTCCAAATTTAGACTCATCTATATGATTTGCTTGTCTACGATATTTGGCTATATTCGTCTACGAAATCAGCATAAAAAGCCAGAAGTTCGGTTTTTGTGTATTTCGGATATCGCCTGTAAGTAATGCTGGTATTTTTCCACACAAAATTAGTGGACCATTCTACTTGCTATCCTAAACTCTAACTTTATGCGAGATTTCGTGTCCTTGTGACCTTTATAACGACACCAAATTCAGGAACATTTTTAGTTGTTGGTCCATTTCAACCCCTAAATATATTGCGGACATCTTTGAAAACAATAGGCCTTGCCCTTCTCAGCCCAACCTACCCTTGTGAAAATTTTCGTGAGGATCAGACCAACCTGTGTTGTAAGGTGAAAGAATATTACAAAATATTATAAGTCAAATTGAAAAAATCGCATGCGATAAAAAAAAAATTAAAAAATTAAAAAATGTCACAAAATACTACAAAATCTATATTAACATCATTATTGGCATATTTTTCTGCGATTTTTTACATTTTTATGTTAAAAGGGAATTCTGAATTGACAAAATTTGTCAAAATCGGTCCAGCCATTCTTGAGATATAAGCATTCTAACTAACATCCCCTTCCTTTGTATATACACATTGTATATGTTTTGCTATATATAACCGATATATTTACTATCGGCATCTACGTAACGGTCAGAATTGACCTGTTCGTCTATTTGTGATTTTGCCGGAATTAAAAATATTAACGGTTTAAAGGAAAATTTGACTTTTATTTAACACAAATGTTGTGGCCTTTTTCACCCACTAAATATTACCTGATGACCATCAAAACTGGAAGGCTTCTGCCCAGCCATAAGCTCTAGCCCCATGCTAACTTCCTCTTTGATTGGTCTATAATTGCGACCTGTAGAACAACTGCAAAATCAGTATTTTTTTTAGTTTTTGGTCCATTTCAACCCTTAAATATTATGCCATCATCTCCAAAAGAAATAGGGTTCTATTCTGACCCTAGCCCCACCTCCATTCTAAATTTCGTGAAGATCGGGCCATAATTGCGACCTGTAGAGTGATTACAAATTAACATGGACAGACGGACGGACGGACATACTTAGCTAGATCAACTCAGCTCGGCAAGATAGGAAGATCCATATATTTCGAACCAATATTTCGAGGTGTTACATAATTTTTGGCCCAATCAAACTTATAATACCCCCAACATATAGTGTTGTAGGGTATAAAAATGTATTAAGTTGGGTCGGGCCGAACTTTTTATACCCTCCACCATTTTCAATGAATTTGGAAATTTTCAAAAAAAAAAAAAAAAAAATAAATAAATTAAAAAAATTCTGTTAAAATCTTAAAAATACCGATTTTTTTTTTGTCATAGGCTGTAGTACCTGTTGTCATAGGCTGTAAATACAAAATTTGAAACAACTCCGGTGTATAATGTCTCTCAAAATATCTAATATCGGGGGAACGGTGGTATGTGGGCTTTACGATATCGTGGACCTTAGGGAGGTACCTCTTCGAGGAGGTAAAGTAATCCGAAGAAACCCGTTTTGTGGATTTTTAGACAATTTTATCGGCAAATTTGGCAACAAACATCAAAATACCGAATATCAGGCTACCGATATAGGCCATCTTAGGACTTGACCGGCTTGCAGACAAAAGATTGATCTGTGCAAAATTTTAGCTTGCTATCTTTATTCGTTTTGACTCTAGCGTGATTACAACAGACGGATGGACAAACGGTGAGACAAGTACACAGTCGGACAAACAGACATCTTAGAATTTTACGCTGATCAAGAATATCGTATATCCCCCCATATAGCGGTACCCCGCGATATTCGGTATTTTCTTGATTTTTGCCACAACTTCAATGGCATTGTCTGAAAATCCGCACCCAGGCAGCCTATGACAAAATATTACATATGCAGAACCACATCTTCGTATTGCCCCCATATAACGGTTTTCTTTTGAGCGGCATTTTCCGACAGATTTTTTGTGAACAATTTTCAAGTTCCTTTAATATGGTGGGGTATATTAAAAGTTCGGCCCGGCCGAACCTAGCTGTTGTTTTACTTGTTTTATTTTTAAATGGACAACATTTTCGTATTGCCTCTATTTAATTCAACAATATTCGATATTTTGATGATGTTATGTCACAATTTTTAACGGTATTTTTTTTCCAAATATAGTATTTGGGGTTCGTCATTTTGCACAAATCTGTTTCTATTATCACAAGCACAGACCCTGTTGAAATTGGAAATAAGCGTTTAATATTGAGATATAGCTGAC